GCGTGCGCGTTTTGGTGTGTGTGTGTGTGTGTGTGTGTGTGTGTGTGTGTGTGTGTGTGTGTGTGTGTGTGTGTGTGTGTGTGTGAGTTGGTTGGCCTTCACTCAGCTGCTTAATTAGGCAAGAGTAGGCGTTTTCATCAGGTCATGCCCAACAGTTTGTATACTGCACACACGCACACACACGTGCACACCTTGCACCTTTTATTAGCCTCATTACATCCAGCTTCAGCTGACTCCAGTTCTAATGTGAAGTGTGTACCTATTTAATGCCCTAATGGGAAGAATGGGTCTTGACGTGTGTGTGTGTGTGTGTGTGTGTGTGTGTGTGTGTGTGTGTGTGTGTGTGTGTGTGTGTGTGTGTGTGTGTGTGTTTTAACAGCAGACTGTCCAGCATGCTATTAAAGCGCTAATGTGAAGTGAACCGTTAATGTGCTGGAAACGTCAACAAATACTACGATGAAATGTGTGTGTGCAAATGTGTATAAACGTGTGTTATATACCAGTGCATATGTAATGTTTAGGGAGTATTTACACAGCCAAGTAAAAAAATGTGAATGTTGTTTTTCTTAGCATTTTAATAAAACAGATTCCCACGGTCCCCTCTACTGCGAGGCCTTTAGTTGCCATGTGTCGGAGTTTATGGGGTTGCGACGAGACTAGCGGAAACTTCCAAGCAGAGACAGTAAAATTATGAATTGTGATTTTTCCCTTTTAGAGGCAGTGCGTCATCAGCAAGCCATCACACTTTAGCAGTGACTACGCGCTCACTCATCTACACCCTTGCTGAACATTTCAGTGCTGGCAATCAGAAACTAACCCAGATAACGTTGTTGGCTAAGCTGTGCGAACGATGCAGCTCTGCTTAGTTTCTGGCTTCTCTGTAGACTGGGTGCTTTAGATCTTTAAAATGAAAAGATGCGCTACGTTAAAACCGGTATGTAAAATATGTCAATGTTTAAAATAATAAGTGATGGTCATTGTTTGATTGAATTGTTATATAACTTGGCTGTAGTTAGCCAATTATATATAAGTCAATGGATGGGGAACTTTCTATGGAGGTCGGGCTATGTAAAATATCCCAAATTGAGGAGTGCTCGCTTGCAGAAACATTTTGGGAACTAGTTGGCTCGCTCACGATTTAGTTGGTTTAATTTCACACTTAATTTCTGTAGGCAGGTTCTCCAGACACACAACTATTTGATGCAAGTCAGTTTTACATTTTTTCTGTTCCCTTTAAAGTAGCATTTTATCATCGTTAATTGTCATGCAAGTGTGAAAAATATCATACTTTAGTTGTCCTTGTGGATTTCGGTCCATTCATTGTAGATATTCAGTGTACAAAATCCGCCTTATCACCGTCCTCTTTGTGTCTGTCCCGCAGTTGATCGCCATTTATGACGAGCAGGAGCCCCACCATGGCGGCGACGGCACGAGCACCAGTTCCACGGGCACCCAAAGCCCAGACCTATTTGCCACCGTCGACCTCGTCACAGGCGGTGGCGGCGGCGGCGCCTCAGCCTTCCAACCCTACCAGGCGGCCAGCGAGATCGAAGTCACGCCGTCGGCCCTGCGCACTAGTAAGCCCGATTTCGGTCGAATGTTTTCTCCGGTACTTATTTCAATGCGGCACCGAAAAGCTAAAAGATAAAAATTAAATTTTTTTTTTTTTTTTTTTTTTGGAAAAGGGCACCATGTATAATAATGTACATTAAAAATGTAGATTTATAACTTCATCCCAAACCAAATTCCAATGACTCCAATAATGTTACACATAAATATATGTCTGTAAGCGCGACTTAAAACTCTACTATGCAAAGCAAAAGCCATTTAGCAAACAACACCCTGAAACGGCGTCGGCTTCTCTGGCCCATCTCAGATGGACTGATTCAAAGTGGAAGAGTTTCCATGGTCTGACGAGTCCACATTTCAAATAGTTGAAAATGTGTACATCGTGTCCTCCGGGCCACAGAGGAAAAGAACCATTTGAATTGTTATGGATGCAAAGTTCAAAAGCCATCTGTCGTAGTATGGGCCTGCGCTTGTGCTAATCTGTAAATACGCATCTGTAAATATGACATTAATACGGAAAGGTACATACATGTTTGTGGAGAAACATATGCAGCCATCCAAGCAACATCTTTTCATGGAGTGCAGAGCCGTTGGTCCACGCCAAAACTTGGCCTCCCAACGCAGTGGCTTCCTGGTCCCACGCTCCCAAGTGCCCCCCTACCCTTGCGCTTGACACTCTTGCGTCTGTTGCCTCTCGTGTTTATAAAAATCCTCATTGGTTTATGTGCTCAAAATAAAGACGGTTCATGACACTTTCTCCAGTCATTTTTCTGTCGCTCCCTTTATGTGGTTCACCAGAACCAACCATCAGATTTTTGAATCTCATAAAAAAAAAAATTTAAAAAAGAAAGAACAACAAAACAAACACAAAAAAAAACATTAAATTGAGGGTCATCAGTGGTGTGAGTTGCGCTGCCGTTTATTGGCAGGCATGTCGTTCAGATCTGGGCCTCCCACGCGGAGCAACTTTTAAACAGCGTGATTAGTTTTAATGGAAGGCTCTTCCCTCCCTCGCGTTGTTGTTGTTCCCACACTGTTGAGCCGAGTCCAGCTCGCGGCCTCGTTAGTCACGTTCCCCCGCGGTGGCATGCCGCTGATTAATTGACTTCATCACTCACTTGAGTCAGAGTCGCAGAGTTAGCTTTTCGGATGTTGGCGTCACGCGCACTTCCGCCGTTTGTTTCACTCTCCTTTATTTGTTCCGAGAGTTATGATAATTATGATAATGCACTCCTTACATAATCGGCGTAGCACTTCCTACATAATCGGCGTAGCTCACCTTGGGTTGTATGTTGTCATTTTTTTACTTTGTTTCATTTCAGATAGCAGCAAGCAGTGTATTATGGATTGTACCATAAATCATGTAACATCAGTGTGGTGCCGTTATTACTTGGCACATTTTGGGTTACACCTTTCCGCTAGGATGAGAAAAGTCTCTTGTTAAGATGAGAAAGTTTCTCGTCCTAATGAGAAACGTATTTCCCCACGAGCGCTAGCTTATTTACCAGCATGAACTAGCTTCTTGTGAAACATATTTGCCCACTAGCGCTAGCTTATTTACCAGCGTGAGCTAGCTTCTTGTGATCGGTCGACTATTTTCAACCTGCTTCCAGTGCAGTGAGACAATGGCAGCAGAAGAAGACTCGCACTCTTTCCTCAAAACAAGGACTATACGAAATAGTGCCATCGACCAACTAAAAGAAGATAAAATAAGGAGAATTGTTTCTCGTCAGGATGAGAACGTTTTCTCGTTAGCAAGAGAACGTTTTCTTGTTAGGAGGAGAACGTTTTCTCATTATGATGAGAAACATTACTTGTTTGAACGGAATTTTTTTTTCCCCTCCGTGTCACTTTATGGGCTTTGTACAAGCATCATATGCGCTGTCCCTGTTAATGAGACCAGCATAACGTCACTGATTGTGTGGGCTGAATAGTGAAAATGTGCGGTGGAATGTTTTCTCCTTTGTCTTGTTTTGAGTGACAGCAATAAGCCGGCATATCATACAAACATGCCGTTTTAAAAAATAATGTTTCTTCAAATTATTTATTTTTCCTTTGAGATATGCCCCTGCACGTCCGCCGTAGCAGCGACCCCGCCTTGATGTGTCTCAACGGGCCATTTAGCGGCGGTGGTGGCAATTCGCGGGTCCAAGCGGAAGAACCGCCATCACGGAAGAACCCGACCCGATGGTCCACCACCGCCGGGTTCCTAAAAGCCCGCCACGCCTCGGGCACCAATAGCCTGGAGAGGAAGGTGAATACAACACGTCTTCATGGATATCCAAACGAGTACAAATAAGTTATTTGAATTTTTTTTTTTAATTGTTCTGCTGCAGAGTAAAGGCTTAGACACTTATCGAAGCCTGCCAAGAGATGGGACGTGGGCCAATCAGAGAGACTTTCAGAGGGAGACAGCGCGCTCGTCCCTCAGCGCCAATCACCCCATGGTGGACCGATGGCTAGAGAGGCAGGAACAGGTACGTTTGACCAATTCATTTCTGGTGTTGCCTTCATTACTATCTGAAATCAGTTTTTTTTTTTTTTTTTTTGTTTTTTTTTTTTTTTTTTTTTTTTTTTTTTTTTTGGTGATGCGTTTATCGATCAAAATCAGATATCGCCTTCAGGCACAGCCTGAAACCACCGTTTCTAGATATTTAGTTATCCGCTATCTATCCAATCTATGGCAGTAAAACAAATCCCAGAAAATTTGAGAGAAAATAAAAAGGCAAAGTATTTTTGCCGAATTGTCATTTGCTTTTTCTACATAGGCAAAGGGGGGAAATTTGATTATCAGCAGAAAATCTGTTTTTTGTAAAAATTCTGATGGAGCTCACCAAAGGTTCAAGTTATTAAGAAGGTTGAAAATACTAATGAAAGCCGGCGATTAGGGCTTTAGAATCTTTCCTTTTTTTGGGACGATACCAACAGTTCCACCTTGAAAATGTCATCATCACTCCTTTTTGAACTCCCAAATCAACACAGAAACCAGCCATTGCATGGATATTTTTTGTTTGTGATATTTGCAATGCCAACATGGTCCAATCACTTTATGTCTTTCTGTATTTATGATTGATAGATACCGTTAAAATAGAATTCATCTGTCCTTACTGTTTCTTGCTTTAAAAAGTCTTACTGTACTTCAAATCGCACACTGCACCATAAAATGGCAAAGTGCGTCACGCTCGACTCCCAACCATGCATTCGTTTGAGGTAACATGTCGAGGTCGGCCAAATGGAGCAGCTGAAGTCTTGTGCTCTTGTACAATTAGCGTTGAAAGATGTCGAACAGGTAGGGTGAGTCGCCATGGCAACAGCGAGCCTTCACTGCTGCTGCGGAAGACTGTATAATATATAATTTATATCCGCACACAATATATCAAAGTGTGTGTGTGAGTGTGTGTGGGGGGGGGGGGCTTAGTCCTTCAAAACCTTACTCTGGTTTTCTTATTTTGTTTTATTCAAGTGAACTCACACTACACAACACACAAATGTCAAGTGTAGTCGCCTTGTTGGCGTAACTGCATGTGTAACGTGTGTGTGTGTGTGTGCGCGTGTGTGTCCCGGACTATTAGGGAGCAATGCGGTTATCTGTCGGGACGGGCCAGTGAGGGGAGGCGGCGCTCAACTCACCAGGGATGTTGTTAGAATGACACGCTGAAGACCGGCTGCGCACACTTGCGTGGACACACACTTGTGCAGGGACTGCCAGGCTAGACGGGGCAAAACTGCACATGCACACACACTGATCACAAATATGTGTGTTCACACACGGGCCAAAAGCTCCTTAGACGTGTGTGCATATGTGTGTTTGTGAGTGCACGCTTGCATGTGCGCAGTCTTCAATGTGTCATTCTAACACACGCAGACACTCAGAGGCTTGTTAGGAGAGTCGCGTGCGTGTGTCCCTCAGGTGCACCTTTAGTAAGCAGCGCGCTCATAAATCACAACCAGGGCATGTTCAACTTGTCTCTGTGTGGGAGAAAATGGATGGGTGTGATACATATATATGAACATGCGTGTGCAGGTGTGTGAGCACATGTTACATTTTGTGAGTGAGACCAGCAGGTGCTGCTGGAACCTTTGAATTGATTCAAGTCTGTCTCCATAAGCAAGCACGTGTATTGATTTTATATATGTATGAACGTGCGTTCGTGCGTGCATATGTGTGTGTGTGTTAGTAGTGTGATCAAGTCTGTGCATGCGTATCCATTAGTTGAGTGTGCGTGCATGTGTTTGCATTGATTTTTATTACTTTTTGTATGTTTGTGTGCATAGTTTTTTTTTTATTGTGTTCGTATCTTTTTGTGTGTGAATTGATTTTATTGAAGTGCGTATGTGCGTGCGTGTTTGTGAGTGAGATTGAATCCCTGCATGTCCAGCAGGTGCTGTTTGATATGTACATGCACACACACACACACACACACCGATTATGGTGATTTTGAGTGTTTTTCTCAATCCCTCTTTGTGTGTGCACCAATGTGTCTGTCGCTGTGCATATGTGTGTGTCTGTGTGAATTGATTTTATTACGGACATACACACCGGCAAACATCTGTTTAAGTGCATGACCAGTAGGTGCTGCTGTGGAGCTTTGATATGTGACTTAAAGTGTGTGTGTGTGTGTGTGTGTGTGTGTGTGTGTGTGTGTGTGTGTGTGTGTGTGTGTGTGTGTGTGTGTGTTAGCTGAGCACAGTTTGAATGAACATCTCTTCAGATGAGTTGTGTGATGTTGTTTTGGGTTCAGATTTGTGAAGGTGAAGCAAGTGCGCGGCGGCCATGTTGGGCTGAAGTCCCCGTGCGTGACTCCCCTCCGGCTTGTTGTTCGCGTCTTGCCGCCAGACGACCCTCTCGCACAGTGTTTGTTTGCGCTTTTGCAATTATTCACGTTGCCGAGAAGCACAAGCCGAAGGGAGATTGCATCTTTTAAACAAATAAACTGCACTGCAAGTGGAGTGTAATCTTATTTGTTTCATTTGACATTCATTTTCCCCGTAGCCGTAATGGAATTAAACTGAGGCAGACCATAAACTTTCAATGGGGACAAGCAATTTTTTTTTCGCCATAGTTTCTTGAGAGGAAGCGGTGTTTCCTCACCAAGAGTTTCCTGATAACTTGCGTCGTTGATTGGTCATCAAGTAAGTTTTCCTTGTTGGCTTTATTTAATACTGCTGTCCAAATGTGTTCCTCGAGCACAACTATCCTGGATGTTTTAGATGTTTCCCTCCTCCAACACACCTGATTCAAATGATCAGGCTTCTGAAGAGCTTGCTGATGACCTGATTAATAGAATCTTGTGTGCTAGAGGTGTGAAACATTTAAAGCATGCAGGATAATGGCCCTCAAGGACCGAATGTGGATACCCCTGCAAGTTTAATTGATACTCAGTGTAAATTGATGGGCACACAAAAATAGACAAACACACAAAAAAATAAGTTTTATTTTCATTGAATTCATTTTTTTAACCATCCATCTATCCATTAGCCGAAAAACTTTATCCTCACGAGGGTGTTTCCACCATATTTTTCTTAGCATCTTAAGCTTTAATGCCTTGATGTGTGAACCATTGATCCCATAAAGCTTCTAATAGTTGTGTATTCAGTCGTTTTCACAAGGATCCTTCACCTCGGAAAGACGTTAATGGGCGCTCTCTTGCGCTTTCTTCGTCATCTTTGATCTTGTGGTTTTGATGTGATGGTGTGCCAGGAGACTCGCCTCTCCCCAGCTGTGCGGCTCTCGACCCAGCTCGGAGACGCAAGTAGGAGATCAAAGTGTCGCTCATCTTGAGGGAGCGCGCTCTACTCCCTCCTCAGGGCCACCACCGGCACCTTAGGGTGCAAGCTGCACACACAATAACTGTAATTCAAATATAATTCGACTCCAAACAAACCTGACCCACTCCACAGCAGATGGCATCCTTAAAAAAAAAAATAAATAAATAAATCATAATCCACCTGTTTGAATTTCAAAGCGGGAGTTGGAGCGTTGTGTTTAAAAAGCTCGTAAAGCTCATATTCCTCACAATGGCCTTTATTTCCACAAATGCAAACACATTGGAAATGCTGCATATTCTCTTCCATGTTAAAAAATTTTAAAAAAATCCAAGAAAAATATATTAGATGCGTTATTCCTTCACCAATGTGGAAAAATGCACAAACTGTTCAAAACAAAAGCAGTGTCTCGGACATTGCACTCCCTGATGTCATTTAGTTGGAAATGTACTGTTCACACTGCATGGGGGGGAAAAAAACCATATGTGTCGCATATGAATCCAAAAAAAAAATAAAATAATTGGAATTGAGCTAGCCTGAACAGTCAGCCAAAATGTCAAGTCTGGTTGTGATGGCCACGTCAACCAAAGTATACCCTACTGGAGCTTTTGAAAAATGGTTCAAGGATTCCCGAAAAACACGTGTTCCTCGGTTGACTTCACGCCTACTGGCTTGATCAGCTCCTTTGTCCATATGCCCGCCGGAAACCGAAATTTCCGCCTTTACCCTTTTCCTGGACCGTTTGCCTTCTCATGCCACCCGACAAAGCCTGAGGAATTGAGTTGGGTCTGTCTGCGTTTCGGTCACGTGTCGACGTCGACACTGAGCTTGAACCCCGGCTGATTGTGACAGACCCGACAGCCTGTCGAGGGCCGCACATAGGGGGGACGCAGTCGCGCATATGGTCGCACCTCTGCTTCCAAGTTACCGTGGTAACAAGTCTACTCGAAGTCCATAAGTGAGGGAAGTCAGATGGGTTTATGACATGTTTTCTTTTCTTGGAATTATGTTAGAAGGTTGTGCAAGCTATCCATCCTGCAGGACCGCCAACTTATGCTCTGGCTTCTAGCTAAGTATTAGGTTAACTCACACTGACGTTTGCAGTTGAACCATGCACAATATGCAATATAATACATATTCTGTGGAACCTTGGCTTGTCGTCGTTTTTTTTTTTCACATTTCAAAACCATTTTCCTCAAAGGGAATAATAGTCTGTTGCGGAGTTCAATATATTTCCTTGCATAAGCACTGTTTTATCATCTACAAGTGTTTTTTTAACTGTCACGTGCTAACCGCCGTTTACTCATTCACTGCCTTTTTACGGCAGAGTTCTCTCAAACTATGAAACAGTAAAAGCAAGCCCGAGAAAGGGCTTACGGTCTTTTCTTGACAAATAAACAACGAAGAGCGACTCACCATATGGTTCAAATTGAGTAGCTTATTTACATGCCATTCGTTTTTCACTCCATGTCATCTTTTCTCACAGACGCGACACTCTTTCTAAGACCAACTGTGATATATATTATGCATATTATCAATGCGTTGAAAGCAAAAATATCCCTGAAACATTCTGATTTGTCTTTCTTTGTGAGTTTTCACAGATTCACAACGAATTCAGCATTAACAAAAAAGCTGAAATTCCTCCATTTTGTGGCTTTTGCTGATTATTCTTCAGTGAGGAACAACAGTAAACCTTTAATGGGATTAAACT